GTCGGTCTCTCTGGCGTTTATTATTATAATTTTTATTTTTTTCTTTGGGTTGCCTCCCATTTTGGCACACATTCAAGAATAAAGCGACTAATATCTGGGCAAGATCTGCGATGCAACCACAAAATGTATCTAGAACGCGTCGCGTAATCGGTGTTTTAGCTGCGATCTGCAAGTTTTTATTTCTTCCACACATTTTCTTTTTGCGCCCTCAGCACTTGCGTCATTATTACGAAATGATACGAAACTTTCCATTTCTATGCAGCGTGGAGCTGCGTGGGTGGCTTGAGTAGTTCTCGAATGTCATCTTTAGAGGGGACTCACCTGCTTTTATTCCCATTCCCCTACCCCTTTCCCTTGGTCTTGGGTATATAGTTTCACAGTTATCACACGCACAAACACACACACCACACCTACGGGTCTCTCTTAAGTTCTTTTTTTTCTCAGCCTGTTTTTTTTTCGTTTCTTTACTTTTCTCAAGTTGGCTTGGTCCGGAGGTGATTTCAAAAATTAACTGCCAATTCTCGGAAGACGAGACTTTTCTACCTATCCAAACGCTCTCAGCTGAATGTTAATAAACACAGCGGCGGTGTTGGATTTGGTAAGCGACTTGGCGCCGACTTGTTGCTATGTTTATGCCTGCGATGGATGGATGGTTTTTTTGCCTCCAACTCCGTTGGCTATGAATATTAAATAACTTATTCTCTTCTCTTTTCTTATTTTTGCAAGTTCTGCTTTAAGCCTGCTTTTATTCGCAAACAAAAAAAGTCCCGTAAATTACGACTAACGATTTTTCTTTCGGTACTTTCGAATCGAAATCGAAAGAAGCGAAGCAACAAAAATAAAACGGAAACGCTTAGATTATGATCTGAGAGAACTTCACTTTCGTCACGAGCATAAAAATCAAACGACAGTGCAGAATTTATTTGGAATGCCGTAAAACCCGTTTTCGAGAATGCAGCGCACGATGTAAACGAATTAATAAATATGAGCAATCAGCATAGGTTTACCTTATGTGGCGGCGCAGTTAACTGCAATTATGTACATATGTTTTTCGTTAATTTAACTGTATAAATTGAAGCTTTTAACCGAAACGCGACGAGTAACGTGAAACCGTTAATATTCGAACAGAAGGAAGCAACCGGTATGCCGAATTTTCGTTTTTCGGAAGCGACGCCAAAACGCGTACGATGCGTATACGTGATGCGTCTGACCACAAAGAACACCGAACAACAACTGCCAAGTTCACTTCGTTCGCTTAGCTTCGAGTGGTGGAATACAGGGTGCTTTTGGGTCGCCAGAAACCCGTTTGCTTACTCTCTTACAGCGCTCTCTTACTCTCGCTTGCTCGACAGTCGGCTAACTTGCTCTCTGCGGAAACGAAAAGCGAAAGCCATCGGCCAATCAGAGCGCAGCAACTACACGTGCTCGATGCTTTAGTTGCTGTTGTTTAGGAAGAGGGGGTGAGTGGGGCATGGGTCTTCTAGGTTCTCTGTTTTGGTTTTTGGTCTGCCACTCTCTCTCTCTCTCACACATTCTCTTTAAGACGCTTTATAACGCTTTGGGACGAGAGCCACAGGGTAAACATGGTTAAACATTGTCAAACATCGGTTTTGTATTCTTAAATCTTTCCTCCAAGTTCATTTTGAAAAGTAAAACGTGTTTAATAAAAGTACTTTTAGACCTTACAACTATTTTCTTGGTCAACTTAATTCAAGTTGAACCTTTTTATGGTTTTAAAGGGTTCAAGATCAAGTCTAGATTTAATTGGAGAATTTTAGGAACTGGTTGAAGGCATAAAGTCAAAAATGTAATTGAAAATAACTATAATTTTCTTGGATTTTTGTTTTAAAACGCTTATTAATTATTAAATTAGTTGGTTAGATTTTAGTTAAACATTTAATTTAATAGTAAACAAGTTCCTTAAGTCTTTACTGTTCCCTTCTTTTGAAAACGTGTCAATAGTTCTTTTATGTATTAATGTTATCTGCTCCTTATTGTACTCAGTTTATTGTTAGTTAATCAACGTTTAATAAATGTAAATGTTATATTAAAAAAATGACTTGAGTTAAAATAAATCATATAATAAGATAATGATTCAGAAAAATCTTTTTAAGCACGTTGCTTAAAAGTAAAGTCCGAATACGGCTTGGTAAATATAAATATAATAAGGTAAAGCTTTAATTAAAACACAACTATGATTATTTACCTAAAAAAAGGTTTTATAAGCCCTATATTATCCCTTATTTCCAGTAATATCCCTGAGAAATGGGCATTCTTAACCAAATAAGCCTCAGAAATTCACCTTAAACAACTTAATTCTTCACATACCCAAGGCAAGAGTTATTTTGTTAACTAAATGCTTAACAGTCCTCTCTGCAATAATATCTAGTTATAAGGAATGTACTATATACCGCCTACTTATAACAACCCTTCTTCTGAAACCCTTAGATACTTGTCTCTAACAATAAATTGGCATTCTAAATGTAGACACAACTCTTAGCCATTTGCCGCAGACCCTATAAATTGTCCCAAATCAAGGTTGACAACTAAATTCTTCACATTCCACGAGTAACCATATATACCCACATTTAAAGGCTGGTTTTCTGACAAACCTGAGCCTGTCTCTGTGACAACTCTGTTTGCATATCAGCGAATATTCACGCATAATTCGTCCTTCTTCGGCAGAGTCCTGTGTATCTGTGTGTGTGGGAGGATATGCTGAAATTGTATTCATGGGAAATATGCAAAAGCATGAAGCCGCAATCATGTGAAGGGCAAAGGCTGGGTACGGCAAAAAGGATGACAAACAAGCGCAAACTCGAAAAGGATGCGGCCAACGGCCTGGATGTTACCAGTTGCCAGTTGCCAGTTGCCAGTTTTCCAGACAAACGACACGGAACGCAGACAAATGAGCGCAGGATACTCCGCATTAGAGAGAGATTGCGGAAAAAGCGGTCAAGGATCCTTATGCGACTTGCACATTTGCCTGAGACAATGGCATGAAGGAAAATGCATTCGAACTTGGCAAATATTTGCAGTATTTTAATTACATTTTCGTCGAAACTTTTGGCCGGAATAGAGATTGGAAATTAAAAGGCGTGCAAAAAAGGAGAGCAAGTTCAAATGGCTGTCCCCGTTTTTAGTTGGCCACTTTTTTAATTAAAAAAGGCGAACAACTGAACAACTGAACTGAAAGTGGCTCCCGCAAAATGGCAAAATGGCGTACAATTTCACAGCTTAACATGGCGAAACTTTTTTGGTCGGACAGAGTCGCTTCTGCCACTGCCAAACTTTAAATACTCCCGAGATATATGTATACACGTTTTGGGCCTTTAAAGCCCCCATCCATTTCAAAAGGCGTTCAATCATGGCAAGTTCTCCCCTTTGGCCTGTGTCAATTTTCACTTAACACATTGTCGAAAGAAATCTTAAGCAACCCTACTTAGGCTCAGGAGTCCCATCAGCAAGGATACGGATTCAACTTCAGGTTTTTTCCTCAAGTGCCTCAGGAAACTTTTCCTTTTTGCGGCAAACTTTCCCAAGGATGGTACACCGGTGCGGGATGTGGCTGAGTCAACAGCTTTAAAGCCGAATCAATTAATAACTTTTCCCATACGCACATGCTTTTCCGTTTTAGCTTTCCCAGCAGCGCCTAAAAGCGCGCTCATTATTTTTTTGCATAAATTATATTAGGGGAAAAAACGTTGCCGAAACTCATTTGACATAAAAATTTACTGCACATGTTCGGGGCTGTGGATGAACTTGATAAGCTCGCAGGATAAAACCAATAAATTTATTGTCGCAAAGTCGTCGCAGGATGAGGCGAAGCAGGAGCAGGAGCAGCAGGATTGTCAGGACTCTGACTCTGGCAGCTGCTCGTCGCTGGGCTCGTCCTTTGTGTTAACGCTTCGTTAAATCTGCGTTAATTTATGTGGGCGTGGCTGGCATTTTGCCTCTAGGCCAACAGCAGCCAAATGACTTTGATAAACCAAATTGTCTGAGCCCGGGCCATGAAGTTTCCCTTCCTTTTAGCCCGGTGAAATCAATCAGCAAAAGCAAATAAATACAATTAATGTTACATTACGTATACGCCATGTTGCTCGGTCTGTACGTCTTGAAGAGAAATTATGCCTAGATGGAATTTTCTGCAATTTTATGCATGTCAACGAGCAGGAAAGCATGGGGGAAAACCCCTGTCTCGACTTTATGCAGAAACACGAGCTCACTCCCGGAAAAGTCGTGGCTCGAGTGGAAAGAAATATGAATAAAGAAAAATCAAATATGCACTTGCGTGAAAATTAATGCGACACGCTCTTCAAGCAAAACTCGCAGTCGACATCCTTTTAAGCTCTTTCTTTTTTCTGCACATTTAACTTGTTTAATTGAAGGAGAAATGCCGGCAAAATGGAATTGCAAACCTAGAAAATGTTCAACTCGAGAATGGAAGTGGGAAAACTTGTTGAAAAGTTGATGAGCAGCTGGGAAATGGTTTATGTGAGTTAAAACAATACATAATTTATTCGAGAGCAATTAGTACCACTCCATCGTAGGTGAATATCAATCAATCAATAAAGGCAATATATATTTTGATTGCAAACATTTGGCAAAACCAAAACCGGAGATGGAATCAATTGAAAGCAGGCTTAATGGAGCCAAGGGGATGTGTTTGTGTAACGAAAATAAAAACATTCAAAGCAATTTGCTACAGCAATTAGAATATATATTTGTGCAATATTAAGCCGGAGATGGAAATACCAAGAGGTTCAGTCACCCGTTCAAGCATTTTAGTACATATTTCCCTGCCAGCTTTTCCAGCTTATAATTGCTTCTCCTGTAAGCCGTAAAACTTTATGCTAATGACGCACATTTTTCAATGCCCTGCAATCCGTAGACCATTAGCCAGCCCTTAAATCATTTATAACCTCCGCTAATTAGCGTTTATTTGAAAGATAATGGCGGTACAGGCTTTTCCTTGGGTTTTCCCATCATTCCGTCGGGACATGTGGCCGCTACTAGTTCCGGTTTTACTTGTGGCCAACGAAACCGGCAGTAACTGGCTGGATGCCATCCTGGCCAGCATCTACAGGGATAAGCCCTACGATACTTTACTCCTGCTAAGACATAGTCGTAACTGGGATGATATATCTGAATTGGAAGGGTCTTCGCTGCCCATCTTAAACTTTAATGAGCAGATGGAGATTCCCTTAAGGAGCAGCTACAACCAGGAAATGGTGGCCTTTGTCCAGCAAACAGGAAACCCAAAGTTTGACTCTGATTTGTGGCAATCTCTGGACAGAAATCTACTGAATATGAGGAAAATCAGGTTGCTGCTCTACCGAAAATGGGAAGAACACCCAACAGATGAGTTAGCTTACACAGCAGAGAATCTAAGATTTCTGGATGTAGCAGTAATCGGTCGAGGAAAAAGGATATATCGCTTACAACCCTATGCACCGCAACGTTGGTTGGAGGTTAATCCCAACAAAGATACAATTTTTACTCCAATTCGAAACTTCTACGGCAAATATATATTGACTATACCCGATCAGTTTGCTCCCCGCTCTATAGTCTATCGAAACCCAGAGACTGGAAAACTACAAATGACGGGTTATGTCTACAAGTTAATTCTCGAATTCACAAGAATTCATAACTTCACCTTGCGTTGGATGAAGGACATTGTGCCGGGTGAGCTACTGAATCTCTTCCTGCTCCGGAATATGACCCTCAATGGAACCATTGATTTGCCCATTAGCTTGTGTGGCTTTGAGAGATCCTCGAAGGCGGGTGTTTTTTCGGATATTTATGACATGGGAGTGTGGTTTGTGATGGTTCCATGTGCCCAGGAGATACGCACCGCCGATGTATATGTGGTCATGGTTAGTGGACAATTTCTGTTGGTCCTGCTGATTTTCTATTACATCTTTACCTTCCTGGATACCTGCTTTGGAGTTTTGCTTCTAAGGAAACGTGTGGACTGGTCCAGTTTTGTGCTGAACGAGCGCATGATATCGGGAATTATAGGACAGTCCTTCAATATGAGAGCCGGGAATACCCTAAGTTCGAAGGTCACGAATGCTAGTCTCTTTCTGCTGGGTCTGGTGTTGAGCACACTCTATGCTGCTCACTTAAAGACACTCCTGACCAAGCATCCCAAGGCCAGGCAGATCTCCAACTTTGAGGAACTGAGGGACTCTCCAGTCAGTGTATATTTCGATGAAGCCGAACGCTTCTATCTGACCACCTTTGATCCGGAGCAACCCATTACTACTATACGGGAAAAGATTAAGTTCGTAAGCACCCAGGATTTTCATTATTTAAAGAGTAGCATGAATAGATCCATGTCTTTCTCAACCTTGGACATTGAGTGGATGATTATGGCCAAGCGACAGGAGTTGTACGAACAGCCTGTCTTCTGCTTCCTTCCGGAAATGGCAATCAGCCGATCCAGTGTCCTGTTATCCTTGCCCATGCAGGCCAACTCCATCTACGAATATCCTCTTAATGAGCTTATACATCGCGCCCAGGATGCAGGATTACTGGATTATTGGAAACAGGAAACCCTGCGAATGATGGTCAGTCTGGGAATGATCTCCCAAAAGAATCCCGTTCCCTATGTGACATTTCGGGAATTTAAGGTTACTGATCTCACTTGGATTTGGTTATTGCTGGTCAGCTTGTTAGCTTTGGCCTTCTTTGTTTTTCTCTGTGAGCATTTTATTTATTGGGTTACTAGAAAAAGCACAAAAAATAATGAAAGGTAAATTGTAAATTTAATTAATTACATATTAAAATAAAAATAAATATAAAATACAAATTTCCCTTGAGTTTAAATATAACCAGTCCTGCTTCTGTTGGCCACCCTTTTAATCCTTTTCTGCTTCATAGTTTTCTGTGGCCAATTAGGAAACTAGGAAAAGCAACAAAATGCAGACTGTATTTTGTCGCTTGGAAATTATCTCATTAGAAATTATTATTTATTTCATTCTACCATTTGATTAATTATGAGTTTACCACCTGAAATTAGCCGGCTAATTGGATTTCAATGAGTGCAAACTAATTAGTTTATTTTTGTCCTCAAAAAGAGCTTAGTGGGCTGATTAATATCTCAATTTATATGCAGCAATTATTAAGTTTTATAATTCATTAGTGTCTTTGTTTAAATTTAATGATTTGACCAGCTAATTAATATTTAAATATAGATTTAATTAATAAAAGTACATTATTTCTTTAAAGAATTTAGGTTAATTTTAAAATGCAAGTAAATAACTTCCAGAAAGGGGTTTGTCTAACTTTTTTATCGTAGAATTAAACACATTTTAAATCACTTAAAATTGTACTAAATTTTCCCAAATTTCCCCTATAATGAATCATCATTTTTGGAAGTCGCTTAAAATGGAAAACTTTTTGAAAACACCAACCACGTGTCCCGCTTAAAATTGGCACTCGGTACCCGCACATTCCTCGAACTAAACTGAACTAAACCGAACTAGTAAATGGTGTCGAGGTCCTTCCTTCCCTCACTTTGACATAAATCAAACATTTCGTCCCGGCAAGGGGATTACTTTCAAAAAATGTCACTGCCGTGGCGTTGACGAGGTCTAAGCGTTCTGTTGGTTTAGTTTTTGTTTCCCAACAACGAGCCTCCATCATTCAATCATCCGGGTTTTGGCCTTGGAGTCCCCGGATCAGGCCATGTACGCCCCCATAATTGACGTTTACGCCGTTTTATCTTTTAAAGGAATATGTACAGACGAGAGATGGGGACGACAGCCAGGATTTGCCGCTTATTGGCGAGTTAACGGACGCATTAAGGGACCCGCCGACAGCATGTTTATGGCAAAATCAATACTGCAAATGCTACAAGGATAACTTGATAACTTGATCTCTGGTAAAACACAACAACAAAAAATCAATTGTGTTATGCCTTTTAATTTACAAAATATAGCTACCACTTTGGCCGGCGGACAATCGAATTATTGATGCACTGCAATCGGGCGGGAAGTTGGCGTAAAATTTTTAATTAAGCCGGGAAACATTGTACGGGTTTTGTGAAAGAGAGAGAGAGCAGTAAACTGATTCCTTACTGCACTGCGAGGGAAAAATAAATATTTCTAATTTAAAGTAAAATATTAGTTCTATTCAGAATATATTTTATTAGAATTTTATATTTAAAAAATTCTATTTATTGTATTTAAAACCAAAACTAAGTTTATGAAATCAGAATGTGATTCTATAGTTGCTTAAATTAAATAGATCTTAAGTGGACTATAAATTAGATTATTTAAAAATCTTATACTTTATAATAAACTTAAATCTAGCATGTCGAAATGTTTCCTAGAAAAATGTTGCTTGAAACATGGTGGGCAACACCAATTAATCCTGGCAACATAACAATGGTGCACAGGCTTAGCATGCATATTTATACCCAAATAAATTTGTATTTAATCCTTAAGGATAGTTTCTAATCCTAAAACATAGTTATATTTTTAATAACAATTAATTTTCTCTTTAAAATTTGTTTAATACATTTTTTAAACAACTTGATACATATATTTTCGTTCTCTGTAACGTAACGTAACCCATCCAGTTCCGCCGCTAGTTTGGAAATTCGTGTAATGCAATATGCAAATTAGCGGCTAGCTCTCGGCTCCAGACCAGGCCCATTCATCGCCCACCGGTCTCTGTCCACCACCCACCACCCACTCTACCCACTGTCCTTTACCCACCGACCCCCGGGGGCGTGTACTCCCCCTAATTGAACCACATTTCGGGGCTAATTGCAACAACGTCAACGAAAACAGATGAATTCCGAATTTCGCAAAAATTTTGGTTGCTATTTCGCTGTGTTCTCGAATTAGCTTCGAGGGAAATTGAGGTCCCAGCATTTTGTTCATTTCATTACGTGTTGCCTATCAAAGTGAGCATTGTCCAAAGCCCAAAATGTGGAAAAATGAAAAGCGGATGGTAAACAGACATGTTTCCATTGAATTGTGTGATTTAAGCCATTGGAAAACTTTAATTTTAAAGGTGATATTAGGGATCAATTCAATATATAACTTGGAAAGTTGATTAATTTTATATTTGCCCTTGGAATTTAATTTAAAGTGTTTGATTCAACCTTAATTAACTTTTTTTTAAAGTTCAATGAGGCTTCCACCTACTTAATCCTTTGGCTTAATTTTCAAACAAAAAAACAATGCATTTCCTTAATTAAATACACTCCCGCAAACATGTTGGTTTCTTCAAATAATTCATATCATTATCCTGCATCCGCTTAACCCCAGAGCATTATATTTCAATTTATTATTGATGACATTATAGGGCAGGGGTGGGGGAAAAAACCATTGTTAATTGTAATTATTCAAGCCACAAATTGGCTTGGCCCATGCGTTAAATTAACGGCGTTCGGTGAAACGCATTAAAGTGTTGACCAAATCGATGTGGAACAGACCACATGACACACTAATTGAGCTCGTTCTACTGCATATTTAAAACAATTTAAAACGTTTTTTTATTTCAAACTGATGCTGGAGATTATCACATAATATATTTGATATAAAAAACTGTATATCTTTTGCAGTATATTTTCCTGCACAACATTTTTGCTATGTGAAAAAAGTTCATGCAAGGAGGAAAACAACAGAATAAATGACGAATGCCTTCTGCATGGCCAAAGTTGTATGGCAAAAGTTTTCCGGGATGGACGGCAGGTGGGCGTGGCAGTTGTTGATTTGGCATTCATTTGCATTTGTTTATGCAAATCGTTGCCGAACAGCAAAAAAAAAGGAGACTGCCAGGCGTCACAAAAATTGTATTCTAACATAAATTAAGGCCGAACACTTTGTGTTTCCATTTAACTTTTTGGGGCTAATTAGTCGTGAATTTTAACGCTTTCTGTCATTTGCATAAATTTGACAAATAATTCGTATTCGGTGTGAAAAACAAGGCCTCTGCGGTTTGGGTTGGGGAAATCTGTAACATTCATTTGCATTTGTTCTAATTATGAGCTCAAGCAATTAGCAGCTGGAAAACTTTTTGCCAGCCAGCTGAGCAAAAACAATAAACGGAAAATCAAAACAAGCTTAGTGCAGACACCTTTTTTAGGAAGGGAAGAGTAAAGAAAAGGGAAGAGTATGCCAATCCCTTAGACAAACTGTCAAAAACTCAATCACAAAACTTTCATCTAAGCCGGTTGGAAAAGTTGTTGCTCATTGTTATAGTAAGGGGTTGGGTAGGTTGTTTCAGGGATGCCAACATAATATATAAGACTATCTTTAATATTATAGAAAAATTGAGAAGAAAGTAACTAAAATTGGATAAAGGCTACTTTAAACTATTATTAAAAGATATGAAAGAAATGCAAAAATATAAAAAGGGGTAAGCAAAAGGTTGTTAAAAGTATTGCAAAGGTAAGAAACAAGTTATATACTTACTAAAACTAAAGGATGGTTAAACTACCATCACTAATGATAAGATGGCTTATATTTCTCCCACCATTCCACACCTTGATTGGCATTATTAACAAGTTTTCTATATGCAAATCAGCGGCAGCCCAGAACTTTCAATGAAAGCAAAACAAAGCAAAGAGGTAGACAATGTTTATCCACCCAAGGCCATAGAATTTTTAGCACCACCCACCATAGCCACCACCCGATCTGGTTCATTTTCCTTTGGCTGCCAGTTTTCCATCAGAATGGGAAAGTAAGTGAAATTGATGAATGGTCTGGTGACAATGGAGTGCTGCTTCAGTTGTCATTCTGGAAGCAGGCTAATAAATGAATGGAATGGAATGGCCAAGACCAAGGGAAGCAACTTCAATAAATTTAAAGGAAAGCAAAAAAAAAAGATAATTCTTCATAACTTTCCTTGCACGGCCAGAGCGTAATCCCCAAAGCCTGAGTCCATATTTTTGACCTCTAAAGCTGCCTATTGATTTGTCAATGCCAAGTCTTAGTCCTGTGCCTTGCCTAGTGTTCTTTTTTTGTATTTTTTTGTGGTCGTGGCCATAAATCAATCCGGGAAGCATTTTGAAAGCATTAAAAGCATTACAAAGAGCGTCATTTCGTGGTTGTTGTACTTTCTTGCGTGATGCTCCAGCTTTCTTCTGCCGCTGCTGCTGCTGCTGTCGCTGTCATGTCTTTGTCATGTTGAACAAAAGCCTTCGCAGTGCCAGCGTTACGTATACGCCCTGTGGCCCTCTCTCTCTCTCTCTCTCTCTCTGAGGGAGAGAACAAGAGATATGCAGAGGGACGGACACACACATGCAAAGCGACATTGCCAGGCAAGCAGAATGAATGCGAGAATGAATGACTGAACGAATGAGCGGATGAAGGAGTGTATGGGAAACCTAAGGCAATCTTTTGTACGCCTCCCCTTGCCACGCCTCTTCGTCCTTTTTCATTCCTTTCCATTTCCATTTTCCCAATGCGTGTGTTCTTTTCGCCAACCATTTGATTGTTTTCCATGTATCTCCCTGTTATCAGACAGATACACTGTGGGAAAATAAGTGAAATGTGGAGGTAAATAGGTTACAGGAAAGAAAACAGTTTAAGTATATGTATACCTAAAACTCTAATAACCCACCTTCTTATTGCTGATTTTTCTCAGTGCACGCTGTGACAACGGATCCATACTCGTGTCTGACATCCTTGAGGCTCTTTTGCTCATTTATATGCATTCGGTCCGGAGGACACAATATCGTTGAATAGCTGCGTAAGAGCGAAACATTATCGTTTCATATCCGTAAGGTCAGCAAATGTCGTTCGGTGAAGATTGAATGGAGCTGGAGAAGGGAATGGGAATGGGGATATGCCACATGCGTTGCGGCATGCAACATGTACCACACGAGGAATCAAGACCAGAACCGAAACAAGCTTCATTTCGGTTTCGTTGGCAACCAAAACAAGTTTGACAGCTCTTGGCCAACACTGGGCAACACTGACAGATACAGATAAACCAAGGAACTCTTCTTGCCACTGCATCATGCCACAAAGTTCATTGCCACCGAGTGAGAGCTGATGAAGCAAGGAGAATCTTGAGATTAAGGAGGGGGTAAGTATATTGTATACATGTATGTTACACGAAACGAAAATGATACTGGTAGTTGATTTTTTATTATTAAGCAATTTAACATAGTTTTCCTTAAAATTAACCCATAAAAATCAGTGTCAATTGAGTAAGAGGTTTTACAAAGATTCATGAAGAAATTCAATACAATAATATAAATAGAATTTGTAGTAAAATATCTATACTTTTTTCCCATGTAAATGAATCGCCAGCATCATGAAAGTGAAGACGCAAATTGCTGTCGCTATCAACGGCCAACTTGCTGAACAAGTTTCAGTTCTATTCTTTATACCCCAGATAAAAGTAAAACTTAAAATGTATATAAATGTATATATTGAGTGGCCCCAATCTAGGGGAAAAAGTGGAAGAATGGCATAGAGCCATGGTGGATCTTTTGAAATGCATAAATCGAATGCATTCGTGCGAATTAAATAAAACGCCAGCTGCCATTATCCCATATCGAAGCCACATTTATGCTTTGGCGTATAAATTGATGGCTGCTGTGGCAGCCACTGCTGCAGCATCATCACAAATAAAACATTCATTCGGATTGACATTTTAAAATGCTTTCCATGCACACAAGCTTGGGAAGTGGTCGAATCTATATGACAATGGAAAATGTATCTTTGCCATTTGAAATTGAATGACCCCTGCAAATAGCGCGAATAAATTGTATTTTAAAACTTTTGGTCTCTGGAAACACATATACATATATATATATTTTTTTTTGCTTCCTGATTTGGATTAGTAAATGTTAATTAGCCAAATGATGTTTTCAATTTATTTGCGGAAGTGGCTAGCAG